TTTAAGGCTTGTTACTTGTGCAATATTGTAAAGACAAACTTTGCGAGAGAGTCCTTGGAGTGTGACGCATACTGAGAACAGATCACGGCCCTCGAACAAATCAATTGATTGGAAAGTCTGAAGTTAATTCTATTTAGTTGTAATCGCATGTCTACGGGGAACCATTTTACCTCTTCGTCCTTAACTCCTAGTTTTCTAGCTACCGTTGTGAACTGATTCAGATTCTCCATGCAGTTAAAGTTTGAAATCGGCTTCATAATTTTCTTTACCGATCCATCTTCAATGGCGTTCATCAGTCTAAAACAATGAGTTTTTTTGTTATTGAAGAGGTTTGGGGAGTTGCTTTGAATTTTGTACAGGGAAGTGCTTCGCTGTTCAGTACGACAAACTTACTTGCACAATTTTTGTCCATCTCTGAGTTGTTCCAGGAAATTATCTCTACTGCCGTTGGTGTCAAAGTCTTCCTTTATCAAACCCTGTAAGAGCTGGGGTCTAGCCGATGTTTATAGCTGTGCGTTTTAGAATATAACGAGGACTGGGCATTTAAAAATTCAAAATCGCATCTAATTTAGGTAAAACTTTAAGTTTGTAAAATTTTTACAAATTTTGTTTAACAGTATTCCTTTGATTGATATGTTGACCGGCCCACGCTTATTCCTTCCAATGCGATTTTGAAATAGGTTGGAAAAGTAATACATATGAAAGAGCTTGCAATGGGGGCGGTGAAGCGAGGTACTTGCTGCTTCTTCACATTATCCATAATTTCACGTGATCCCAGCAGCAAAAGCTCAAAAACATACCTTTATCCACTCTAGAATATATCCGGCTTCTTGTTCATTGAATTTGCTCTGTTGTTTGTCCAGAATTTTTCCTGAATTTAATTGTTTAAAATCAGGCTCAGCTTTTCGATTGATGTTATTGAACAAGTGATTTGTTTCTTCCATTTTGACATGTACCACCATTGAATGACAATGGCTCAACAAAGTTGTTAATTCAAAAGCAGATTCGAACAACTTAATGCAATGAAACATCGGCTATATGTGTGTGCACTTCTAGATGTTATATTTATATGTATTCTGCAATGAGGCACACTAGGAGAACTGTGTGAAGCCATACGATAGCTCACATCCACATCTGGTGTACTACATCAAAGATATTGTGCACTAATAAATTATGAAATGTTCTTGCAACTTCTAAATTCGTAGATTTGATAGTAAAATTTGAAGAATATGTCATATTATGAGAACCATAACTAGCACATGAATAAATTTGTCACATGGGATATAGGGTTTTAGAACACAAACTTGTAAAAGGATGCCTCATGTGGAAATGTATGAACACACTGTTTCTCGTCGCAGAATCCTGTTATCATTTTCCAGAATATAAGAGAAATTTTTATTAGACTGGAATCTTACAGCGGAGGTCTGCTACCTTTGCTACAGTAGATGCCTGATATTTTTCTAGAGAGATACCATTGTGAAGCTGACGCCTCTCCGCGTACTTGAAAGAAGCCACGATTTCTTTCTAAAGGTGGGAGGATGTTTGCAAGGGTCTTTCTAAGGCTAGCGTAGAAGTCCCCCATCATAATTTTGTAGTCCTAATATTCATTATAAGAAGTGACTACGTATCATCAAAAAATGCAAGACCTATATATTTTTGTTGAGGACTATTCA